ACCTCCAATAACCCAATTAACTAAATTATTATTATTCTCATTTGGCAGATTACAACAATGAAACCCAGAGAGTACAAATGTCTTGCTTAAAGTTACAAAACTAGTTAGTGGCAGTTGTGGGAATTGACCCCTTCAATCCATGTCCTAGGATCCTGTCATCCACTTTGTTTTGCCACGAACGAAAAGTTCCTGCAACAGAACCCAAAATGTGCCACTAGGTTTACTTTTTCTCCCAGGTGCTTGTGCTTTGTGGGGTTTCTTTTTCTTTCTTTTTTTTTTTTTTCCTAAAGATTTTACTTATTCATGAGAGACACACAGAGAGAGGCAAAGATAACAGGCAGAGGGAGAAGCAGGCTCCCTGAAGGGAGCACAATGTGGGACTTGATCCCTGGACCCGGAATTACGCCCTGAGCTGAAGGCAGATGCCCAACCTCTGGGCAACCCAGGCGTCCCTGTGGGGATTCTTTATGAAAAAAAATTTTTTTAAATGCAAGTAGGAGTGAAAGGGAAAAATTCAATTAATATATGTGCCCTAAAGGCAACATCAGTCAAATATAAATATGAAAATTAAAATAAATGGAACTGTGAGGGACAAGTTCATTGCTCATGACTTAGGCACAGAGTTGCGAGTTGGAGTAGGTGAAGTTTGAGAAAGCTCCTGGCTTCAAGAGTTCTGGAAATAATCCTTGGGTCTGATTTAGAGATGACCGATGAGGAAGAATGGAATTGGAAGAACCTAGGGCAGCCTGGGTGGCTCAGCAGTTTGGTACTGCCTTTGGCTCAGGGCGTGATCCCGGGGACCCGGGATCAAGTCCCATGTTGGGCTCCCTGCATGAAGCCTGCTTCTCCCTCTGTCTCTCTCTCTCTCTCTCTCTCTCTCTCTCTCTCTCTCTCTCATGAATAAATAAAATCTTTTTTTAAAAAAAGGAAGAACCTATTCACATCAAGGGGAACATAGTGAGATATGAGAGGAAAAGCGCATAGGAAGATAGAAATACAAATCAAAGAAAAGTGATATTAGAAGAGCTACCAATTTATATATTTCTAACCCACTTGCCAACAAGTGGCTCACAGTTCATTCAGAGAAAATACCAACAGGTACAGTTTTGTGATGACCTTCTGTATGTCCGGCTTTAGGGCCCTCAGGTAAATTTACACTGAATGTTCAGTGTCAAAGAATATTCTTATCCTATTTTACATGGATAGAAAATAAGACAGAATTTAACTTTGCCAAGGTCCCTCAATCCCAGTAATTGGTGAGCAAGGTTTGATGACCTGAGATACATACTGTTTCATTATTTGTAAATATTTGGGGGAGGATTAATTTACTGGAACACTGTAAAAGCAGGTGTCTAGATACCCATGTCTAGATTCAGACTATCTCTGTGCTACACACACACACACACACACACACACACACACACACACACACACGTCATTCAGATCCATCCTCCAAAACAACAACACAAGATGAAATTGGGAAGTCAGTATGGAGTCATACTGAGATGGGATGAATTTGATGACAACCTGCCAGTTCTGTGTCTATCTTGCTGCAAAGTACTGGCTCTAAAATCAAGTAGAGGGAGCAATGACTACTACTTGCTAGAGATTTTTCCTGTGTGCAGGCAATGCCACACTCTTTAACATTCAGTCACCCTACTTAGTGTGAGGAGTGACAGTGTTCCTACCTCTGGCTCACAGGTTAAGAAGCTGAGACACACTGTCAGGGGCTCCCAATCCCTCAGTTTGTAGGAGGCAGAGTCAGGAATTTAAAAATATCTGTTCTGGTCCCAAAGGCTGGACTCTTACTCAGTATTGCTTTTAAATGGTGCCTTTTGGGGGCACCAGGGTGGCTCAGTTTGAGTGTCTGCCTTTGGCTAAGGTCGTGATCCTGAGGTCCTGGGATTGAGTCCCACATCAGCCTCCCTATGCCTGCTTCTCCCTCTGCCTATGTCTCTGCCTCTCTCTCTCTGTGTCTCTCATGAATAAATTTTTTAATGAAATAAAAAAATAAATGGTGCCTTTCAGTGGTGAAGAAAAGCATATACTATCACAAATCCCAGCAGGACCCACACCTATCCATTTCTCCAGCTCCATTCCAAATCCTGAAATCTGTCTGTGAGGCCCATCGTGGAGTAGCATGAGTCTCTGTGTGTATATATGTGTAGAGAACAGGGGCCACGACTAGAGTCTGAACGTTTACCCTGAAATCTTGACATTAAACTTATCAACTGCTTGGAGTCCAGTTCTCAGAGGTCTGAGCCAATGAAACACTCTTATGGGGAAAAAGGGAGGACTACAATCTTCTCCTCTCTGGCTGGCTTTGGCTTCAGCAATGGCCAGCCCCCATCCAGCTTCATACCCATGACCATCCCCTGCCTGCTGTGGGGTCTCCACTGTTATGCTCCCCAATTACTCTATCAGCCCAGAAAGGAGTCCAGAGCTGAGGTAAAGCTGCACCGAGACCCCCAAGGGGAAACCTCTCTTCTGTCCAGTTCTGCACCTGCCGTCTCCCTTTGAACACTCCCCCCCAACAAACTTTATCTGAGTCATAATGAAACACTCACCAGGACTGCTAGTGAAACTGGCAGCAAGTCTGTGGCCACCAAAATATATGTTAAGTAGAACCAAAGCAGTTACATGCCATAAGATTCTCTGAGTTCACCTCCCTGGATGGGCTGCAATTACCCTGTCACCCACAAGGTGTTGACACCTTCTGCAAAGGGACTGTGGTGCTGTTAATGGTAGTCCCAAGACAAGTCAGCATCAGCAGTTCCTGGGGGTTACTAAGACACAAACTAATTAACAGGTGCAGCTATAGGAAACTTTGCTGAGTTGACCCAGTGAACCCTGTGTCTAAGGGAGCACAGGACACACAGGGCATTCTCAGATCTGTGCTGAGAAAGGTCCTAATGGGGTCTGCAAAGTGAATCTTAATCTCCAAGTCCCGCTCCCACTCAAGGGTCATGGTGTTGAGATGTGTCACATTCACAGTAGACACTAAGTTTTGATGTTTCATTGTTAAGGGTGTGATCTTTGTTGATGTCTGAGTCATCCAGACAAATGCTATCCTCACCTTCTTGCAGGAGCCCTGGCCCTTGCTGCCTGTCCCACACCCCTCTCAGGCCATTTCCAAATTTGTCTTCTTGAACTGTCCAGGGGCCAAGGTAGCACAGTAAACAAGTGACTCCACTTGCCTTTTTTTTTTTTTAAGATTTTAAAATGTATTCATTTGAGTGAGTGAGAAGGGGGGAGGGGCAGAGGAAGAGGGAGGAGCAAACATCATGCTGAGTAGGATGCCTGACATGGGGCTTGGTCCCAGGACCCCAGCACCATGACCTGAGCCTAAGGCAGACACCCAAGTGACTGAGACACCCAGGCAGCCCTCCACTTGGCATTTCTGAAGGTGCTTCCACCCTAATCCTTGAATCCCTGCTATGAGTAATAATGCCATTCACACGGTCCCACTTCCTTTCTTTCTTTCCATTGCCCAGGATTAACTGCAGATTTTTCTCTTTTTTTGTTTAAAGATTTATTTATTTATTCATGATAGACATAGACAGAGAGAGAGAGAGGCAGAGACACAGGCAGAGGGAGAAGCAGGCTCCATGCAGGGAGCCCGACGCGGGACTCGATCCCAGGACTCCAGGATCGCGCCGTGGGCCAACAGGCGCTAAACCGCTGAGCACCCAGGGATCCCCCCTAACTGCAGATTTTTCTTGATGTTTCTTTTTATACTTTATGTGTACTTGCTCTTCCATTGATAAGTCAGTTTAGATATTTCCCTCCCTCCCTAAACTAAAATGATGAGATCAAGATTCTTACACAAATTTTTATCTTCTTTCCCCAATTCTCTCCCAAATCTTTGTTTTACAATTTCTATGTGATCATTGTTTTAGCATTTTAGGCTCTGAGACTAAAATTCCCACAATCTGCCAAAGCTCTTATAGCTCTGCTTAGAGGAATTCAATGCTTAATCTCAGTTCTTGTTTACCTGTTCATCTCTTGTGGGTAAAATTCACATTTCAGGAACTTCTTTGAGAAGTTCATAGGAATTATACTCCATCAGTTTTTTAAAGATTTTATTTATTTATTCATGAAAGACAGAGACATAGACAGAGGGAGCAGCAGGCTCCCTGATGCAGCACTCAATCCCAGGACTCCAGGATCATGCCCTAAGCCAAAGGCAGATGCTCAACCACTGAGCCACCCAGGTGCCCCATCCATCAGTTCTTGTATGTTCAACAGTATTTGACTGCATCTCAGAACTTAAAAGACTTATTTGAGGTAAAGGTTATCTTTGTGACATTAAGCCCTCACATTTAATAACCAATCTACCTCTTCCTTTATTTTGGTTATCTTGAATATTTTTTAATAAAGTGGTACAAAAAAAATAAAGTGGTACAAACCTTTCAAATTCTATAATTTTTATTGTGAATACTTTTCAAAAATGTTCTGATTATTGCTTAGCACTCAACTGAAGCTGCATATTGATCAAGTATCCAGAGATGATTCTCTTACTATTCTACATGGTTGTCTGTGGATCTTCCTGTCATTCCACATAGGCAATTATATCATCTGCAAATAATGACACGTTTTTCCTTGGTTCCCAATTTTAAGTCCTTTCATTTTTATTATTGTCATACTGTGCTAGTTAAGATCTCCAGGAGTGTTCAGGAGAGAAGTTGCAGCAGACCTCACTGCTGGACAACTAGGGAACATCTCTAAAATTTTATCATTAGATGTGATATTCACTGCCCGGCTTTGGTAGCTAGTATCTATTAAGTTGAAGATGTATTTACGTCTGTTTTGCTAAGCAGTTATCTTTTTCATAAATAACTGTTGATTTTTATCTGTATTTTGAATGCCAGAGTTCTTGCAATGATACTTTTTTGAATATATTTTTATTGATGTAAAAATTCACATAAAATTAGCATTTCAAAGTATACAATCCAGTGACATTTATTACATTCACAATATTATGCAATTATCACCTCCACCTGGTTTCTTTTATTTTTTTATTTATTTATGATAGTCACAGAGAGAGAGAGAGAGAGAGAGAGAGAGAGAGAGAGAGGCAGAGACATAGGCAGAGGGAGAAGCAGGCTCCATGCACCGGGAGCCTGACGTGGGACTCGATCCTGGGTCTCCAAGATCGTGCCCTGGGCCAAAGGCAGGCGCCAAACCGCTGCGCCACCCAGGGATCCCCATCCACCTAGTTTCAAAATATTTTCATCATTCTAAAAAAACAGCAAACCCATAACCATTACTCAGTCTCTGTGTCCTCTTCTCAGGCCCTGGTAGCCACCAATTTGCCTTCTATCTCTAAAGATTTACCTATTCTGCACATTTCATATAAACAGGAATATGAAATGTGATCCTTTGTGTCTGGCTTCTTTCACTTAACATTTTTTGAGGCTTATAACATTTAATGACACTTCACTTGTACACACACACACACTGCATTTTGTTTATCCATTCATTCACTGACAGACACTTGGATTATTTTCACCTTTTGGTTATTGTGAACAGTGCTGCTGTGAACATTTCATGTACAAGTACTGAAGTACCTGCTTTCAATTTTGTTGAAAATATAGCTGGGAGTGGAATTCCAGGGTCAATGATAATCCTATGTTTAAGTTTTTAGAGGAACTGCCAAATTGTTTTCCAAGGCAACTGAACCACTTTCCATTCAAGCTATGTTCAAGAATTCCAATTTCTGAAATGTTATTTTTTAAAACAGATTTTATTTATTTAAGAGAGCAAGCACATGAGAGAGAGAGAGGCAGAGGGAGAGAGAGGTAGAGGGAAAAGTAGACTCCCCACTGAGTATAGAGCCCAATGTCGGGCTCAATTCCAGGGCCCCAGGATCATGACCTGAGCCAAAAGCATACATTCAACTGACTGACTACCCAGGCACCCTAAAATGTTATTTTTTACATTGGTAAATATTGGGCATTTTAGGAAATGCTAACAGAGAAAATGTTCCTAGTTCCCAGGATACGTTTTCATAATAAATTCAAAGTTCCTACATTATACAGCACTTACAATAAATATACATGGTTGCACACATAAACTCAAGTCTTTTCTCCCCTTTCATCTCATATGTTACTTATTTTTTAGTACTTCATGTAAACCTTTTATCACTTTTGCATATTTAAGAAATAAGGAGGTTTCAAGGAGTGATGGATCATCACACTTGGCAGAAACATTACAAAAGACAGTAAAAATAAGGAGAGCAAACTTACGCAGTCTAATTCTTTAGAATTCTTATTGAGTCAAAATATATATTACAAGACATTCTGATTTATAAGGAAATAGAACATTCCTGTTTACATGAGATTTTATTACCTAATATTCTATGTCTATGTTGAGAATTTATTAAACCCTAAAAATTATATTCCTTCATGTAATTCCACAAAGTAATAAAGTCAAATACATAAAGTCAATGTTATATAGTGTAGTCCACAATATAACCCCTACATACCCTTATCACTATTCAACTTATTCTTATTTTTTCATATATTCAAATGGCATCATATTTGCAGTGAAAGTATTTAATATTTGTAGTAGAATATTCTCTGGAATCCTTTCTAAAACACTTATGTTAAGCCCTTACAAAATAATTTCATTCTATAGTTTTGAATTTAACTAATTACCCAAATCTAAAATGCCATCAAACATAGAAAAGTAGTAACAACTAAATGATGACATTCCATCAAATATAACATGCATCACAATTGAAGATACAGTCAGATGTAAAGAAACAAATCCAGAAATACAAAAATAAAACACAATTAATCATTGATGCTTTTGCCACATTTATTGCTGTGTAGAGCTTATGATGCTTAATGATATCCAATCCTCCACAGAAAGCATTTTTAGTGACCATAATCACAGTATTTCTATAATATACAGTATGATTCCTTAAGGATTTCATAACTTAACTGAACCTGGAAATTGTTCCCAGAGAATAGGATTTCTCTGCTACATGAGTTAGAGAGCAATTAGAAAGATCTGCACTAACTTCTACTTCCAGACTTCTTCTCAGCCTGCTCCTACCTACAGGTCCTGGATCTGAGCCTTGGCCTCCCTCTATAACCCTGCCCCCACAGCCCACATTTTTCTATCCTGGCCAATTTTCCTGCCTAATGGGCTTTTGTGCAATTCAGAGGAAGTCTTTCTTCCTCATAAACTGACACTTTTTTAAATTTATGTAGCCTTCAGTCGATGGGAGATTTTTGTAATAAGAAACCAAGTACCTTCCTTCAGTCCTGAACAAGTTTTCCTCTGATTCCAACTCAAAGTTTTATGTACTTTCTAGTTTACTACTCACTAAATGTGTGAATATGACTTCACCCTCCTTACTATTCTACATTCTTAAAGTCCTGGTTTTGCTTTACATTTCAGAAAATGTGAAATTTAGATCTGTTCAATAAAATACAAAATTATTTTAAAAAGCTCTGAATTGTAAACAAAGCATTTTTTTTGTAAATAAAGCATTTTAGATAATCACTGCAATTAATGACATTTCTTTCTTGGTATCCAAAGAGTTTTGGGGCCAAAGGATTTATCTATTATATGAGTTTGCAGAAAATTAGTGGCTTTGACATCCAGATGAAGGCTTTTACTACATTTTAATACATGAATAGAGTTTTCCTCCTACATAAGTTTGCTGATGTAAGGAAGATATGCATTAACTAGAAAGACCATACCATATTCATAGCATCTGTAGGATCTTTCTCCTGTACAAGATGGTAAAAGAGTTTTTACTTTCTAGAGAATGCTATCATCATCACAACATTCCTAAAATTTTTATGTACAACAAGAGGTGATTTTTCTTGGCTTTCTGCACTCACTGCAACTGCAAGGTCCCTCCCCCAAATGAACACCCTAATGTATAAAAATGTGATTTGAAAAGAATGTTTTCCCTCTTTCACTACATCCACAGGTGTTGCCTCTTAAATACATAGCCTCTGAAATTCAAATGAAATTTTTGACAATCACTGCATCTCTGTTTCTCTCTTTTGATAAGATCCCTTGTGGTATACTGGGAAGAGTCTTCAGATGAAAGGCTTACAACATTCATTTCCTATAGAAGTTCCATAAAGGTCTAGTATACTCACAGCATTCATGGCATTTCTATTCTATATGAGTTCTCTGAACATATAGGACTAACCAAAAACTATTTCTCACATTTCTATAGTCATTGCACAGAGAATTTTCCTCTATGCTGAGTTTGCTGATGATTAAGAAGAGCTGACTTCCGAAAGAAGGCTTTTTGACATTCATTGCATCCATAGGGCCTTTCTCCTGTGTGAGTTCTCCGGTGACCAATGAGAGTTGACAAAGTAGCAAATGCTTTCTTACAATCACAGCACTCATATGGTTTCTCTCCTGTATGAATTCTCTGATGTACAGTGAGATAGGATTTAGCTGTGAAGGCTTTATCACATATACTACATTTGAAAGGCTTCTCACCTGTATGGGTTCTCTGGTGTATAATGAGAGTTGACTTACAGGACAAAACCTTTCCACATTCACTGCATCCATGAGATTTCACTCTTGAGTGACAATTTTGCAAATGGTTAGTGAGACCTGACTTCTGGATGAAAGCCTGTTGGCATTCGTTGCATCCATATGGTCTCTCTCCTGTGTGAATTCTCTGATGAATCATAAGATGTGCCTTAGTGGAGAAGGCTTTCTCACAGTCCAAACATTCATAGGGCTTCTCTCCTGTATGAATTCTTCGATGGACAATAAGATGTGCCTTTGATGTGAAAGCTTTGTCACAGACACTGCATTTGAAGGGCTTCTCACCTGTATGGGTTCTCTGATGTATAATGAGAGTGGATTTAGAGGACAAAATCTTCCCACATTCACTGCATCCATGAGATTTCCCTACTGCATGCTGAGTTTTCTTATGATTAGTGAGATCTGACTTCTGGATGAAGGCTTGTTGACACTGACTGCATCCGTATGGTCTCTCTCCTGTATGAATTCGCTGATGAATCATGAGCTGGGCCTTTTTTGAGAAGGCTTTCTCACAATCCGAGCATTCATATGGTTTCTCTCCTGTGTGAGTTCTCTGATGCACAGTGAGATGTGTCTGAACCATGAAGGCTTTATCACATATTCTGCATCTGAAAGGTCTCTCTCCCGAATGAGTTCTCTGATGTAAAATGAGTTTTGACTTCCAAGGAAAAGCTTTCCCACATTTACTGCATCCATAGGACTTCCCTTCTCTATGACGAGTTTTCTGATGATAGATGAGTGCTGACTTTGTAATGAATGCTTTTTGACATTGACTGCATCCATATGGTCTCTCTCCTGTATGAATTCGCTGATGAATCATGAGCTGGGCCTTTTTTGAGAAGGCTTTCTCACAATCTGAGCATTCATATGGTTTCTCTCCTGTGTGAGTTCTCTGATGTGCAGTCAGATGTGTCTGAACCATGAAGGCTTTATCACATATTCTGCATCTGAAAGGTCTCTCTCCCGAATGAATTCTCTGATGTAAAGTGAGTTTTGACTTCCAAGGAAAAGCTTTCCCACATTTACTGCATGCATAGGACTTCCCTTCTCTATGATGAGTTTTCTGATGACAGATGAGTGCTGACTTTGTAATGAAGGGTTTTTGACATTGATTGCATCCAAATGGTCTCTCTCCTGTGTGAGTCTGTTGATGAATAGTTACCTTTAACTTGCTGGGAAAGGCTGTCCTACAGTTACAGCATTCATGGGATTTCTTTCCTGCATGAGTTCTCTGACACATGGTCATGAGCGGTTCATAAGCATTCACTGCACATTCATTGGATCCACATGGTTTCTTACCTAAAGCATTTGAGTAATAATTAGTGAGCCTTGTCATTCAAATGAAAGCCAGTGTACCTGCTACAGAATGAGCAGGATACTAAGGAAAAGTCTAGAAAAATATTTGTTTCTATTTACTATAAAAAATACTAATGAGACAATCAGTAAAATTTGAGTAAGCTCTGTAGATTGGGTAATAGTTCTGTATCAATGTCAATATTCTGATTTTGATTATTTTTAAAATTATTTTGGGTATATGAAAAATTGTTTCTATGAAATACACACCTAAGTATTTAGGAATAAAGAGTTCAGAAAAACACTATGTACATGTGTATATGTGTGAATGGAAATAACAGGTGGAAAGAATGTGATAAAGCAAATGTGGTAAAATATTACCACCTAGGGAAATCTAAAGAATGTGTGAAAAATTTGTGTGTAATTTTGAGGTTTCTAAGTCTAAACTATTCAGAAATAAACATTTTCAAAAGGAGAAAAATATAAAGGACATTTATGTAAGGATATATAGGAGTATTACTTATAACAGCTCAAATGTTGAAGGGACAAATTGTTTTATGTTCACACAATGGCACTCTGCACAGTACTCTGGTACTCCTGATGTAGCGCTGGTTACACAGTATACTGACTGTAAAAATTAACTGAGCTGTATCCTTATATCTGTATATTTTTGTGTGTGTATGTTATATTTCAAAAATATTTTTACATAAAAAAGTAAGCATAAATTTAGGCAGGAGTCAGTAAATGCTCACATGTAGAAGGATCCTGGAAGGAATCTGGATATTATTAATAGTAACAGGATGCCATTTAAGAGAGAGAGGACATGTCCTGATTTTCACCTTAAGAATGTCATCCTATGTATCAGTTATCACACTAACAAGGTCTCAAGTATTGTGACACAAATACTATTTTTAGGATTGTGGACTGTACTTGTGAAAATTGGCAAAGACCTGCTATGGTATATAGCATTTTTCCTGAATTATACTTTAGATCTTTCCCTCTATCTTCCAACTCAGAAGACTGTTCTTTCCATATGATGGCTTATCTTTTGTGCCCAGATAATTATTGGAGACTGATGTCTTTATAAATCCAGATGTTTCTAAAGTTTTTGTGTTCATGAATTTTGGGGGTGAGAGGATACAAAAATTGACTTATATTACTTACTTTTGAAAAATAAACAATAAATAAGACCCAAAGATCTGGCTATCACGTGGAGAAAATAAAGAAGCAAAAGTAAAGAAGTGAGGGATGCCTGGGTGGCTCAGCAGTTGAGCGCCTGCCTTCGGCTCAGGGTGTGATCCTGGTCTGGCAATCGAGTCCCACATCAGCAGGCAAGGAACCTGCCTCTCCCTCTATGTCTCTGCCTTTCCCTGTGTGTCTCTCATGAACAAATAAATAAAATCTTTAAAAAAAATAGTAAAGAAGCGAGAATATTTTTCAAGAAAACTATAATAACTTTGGCAAGAGACAATGGATATTGGGGCTTGGGTGAAAAAATAGTTACAGAAAGGAGTAGGGGATCTCCTGATTCAATAAGGAGAAAACACAGACTACATTCGTTAATGGACAGGATTTGTGGTATAAGTGAGAAGAGGAACCAGAGTGACATGAAATTTGAAGTAGTTATTAGATTTCCAGGTGCAGAAATGAAATATCTAGGTGAATATGTGTAGATAAAAGGAGGTCTGGCCTGGGGACAGAAATTTGGGGCTTATCAGCATACAAATAGTATTCTTAAGGCCATGAAAATGAATGAAACCACACTAGGAACAAATGATAGAAATAGTCAAGGATGAAACTTCATGCTCTCTTGCTCTGGAGACTTTTGAAGATGCCCAGAGAATGGAAAAAGTCCATCCATCAGGTGCAAACAATGACCAAAGAAAGATGCCAATGTAAGTCTTGAACAAATATCTGGGGGAGACAGGTTAGAATGAAGAATACTCAGCTTCTCACTTAAATATAAGCTTGGTTATCCTCTATTACTGATTCTTCTCTAATTCTTGATGCAACAATAAACTTTCCCAAAGCTCTTATATCATATTTAGAGAACACCACTGTGGTCAACATTCCCACTTTCTAGCTTGTTTTGATGCATTTTCACACAGCCCACAGAAGTCCAAAAACCTGATCTCAGGATAAAAGGCTTCTATGAGGGATCCCTGGGTGGTGCAGCGGTTTAGCGCCTGCCTTTGGCCCAGGGTGCGATCCTGGAGACCCGGGATCGAATCCCACGTCGGGCTCCCGGCGCATGGAGCCTGCTTCTCCCTCTGCCTATGTCTCTGCCTCTCTCTCTCTCTCTCTCTCTCTCTCTCTCTCTCTCTCTCTGTGACTATCATAAATTTAAAAAAAAAGGCTTCTTTGATAACTAGAAGAATTATTATATCACTTGATCAGATTAAAGGGGTGAAAACAAGAGTTGTAGAGAAAACAGGAAGGGACATTGCCAGAGAGGAATCAGAAGAGGATAAGAAGGCCTGGAAGCTGCACAGAAAACATTTTTACTGGACCTGAATCAATCCAAAGAGAGAAAAAGAGGTGCATCACCCTTGAAACACCAAGCAAATGAGAGCATCAGTAAAGATTTAGGTATCTGTAATGACCTTTAAAGTTTGGGCCTTGTTAAAACACAGCTGGAAGAGGTCATCCCTTCATGGCCAACTATGTTACTTTCAAATCTTACATCTTTCTGCTCTCAGTTGCTCACTTACCTGAAAAGCACTGACAATGCATTTCATCTTCTATGCTCCATGGCTCTTCTCCCTGCTTGAAATTAAGGATCATTTCTGGCTTGGTAGCTGGAGAGCCTGTTCATGGGAAATGACAAAGACTTGGACACTTATAACTGGACTTATGGGGGATATCTAGGAAGATCACAAAATTCTCAGGAATTGACATACTTTCACCTTGACAGATTAAAGATCTATTGAAGGTGAGAGTACATAAGTTCTATCTGGGAACAGAAGAGAGACTAAGAATCTATTGCCTATAATCTAAAGTCCAGTATCTTGACGCTCTTTAGAAGCCAAAGCAACTGAAAAAAGAAAGGCTATTGTCTGTGACATTCTGAATGACACACGGTAATAATCTTTAACCATTGTCACAGGTTGCTATAATTCTCCAACAACATACCCGAGTATAGATACTTCTGAGTAGAACCTAGTAGCTGCCACCCTTCGAGGTTAAGTTCACAGATACATCTTTAAATGATGTCAATCCCTATAACACATTGTTCTTCAGTTTGTGAGAATCATTACTGATGTGAAACAGACCTCTAAGTGTATGTACTGGTTGTTTTTACCATAACTTACAAAGGCTATGACTTTGTGTAATAGTTTTCATTATTCATTATGGAAAGTAAAATGCCATTAAATCTGTCTTCCCATATTATAAGATGTGTCAAATCAACATGTTGTACACCTTAAATTTATATAGTTATACATCAAATATATTTCAATTTAAACAGTCTATTGCAATCATATGCTTTATTATCAACTAATCCAATAAATTAGAAGTTTCTGAAAGGTATGCCCATTAAATCCTATAGGTAATGTATCTCTGAAAAATATATTTTTAAAAATTTTATTTGTTTTGTTTAAAGACACTTTTAATATCTACATAAAAGATAGAGAACTATGTACTAATATAAAAACACAGCAATTATTGACCCTCAAGGTGATTTTATCTTTTTTCCCCAACTAAATCCTATCACCTTTCATTTATTTTTATTGAGGTATGATTGATATACATTCATTTCAGGTGTGCAACATAATGATTTGTAATATATTTGTAAGATGATTGCCACAGTAAGTCTAGTTAGCATTCATCACCATACATATATCAACAGAAAGAACATAGAATCAGACATGAAATGACTGTACATGAGTAATTATCAGCACAGGATTATTAATATTTTTAACATAATGAGAGATAAGATACCCAAGAATATGTGGAAGGAATGAAATATTTTTTAAATTTTTATTTATTCATTTGAGAGAGAGAGAGAGCCTGCATGCATGAGCAGAGGGAAGGGTGGAGTCAGAGGGAGAAGCAGACTTCCCTCTGAGTGGGGAGCCCAATGTGGATCTCAGTCCCCAGGACTTCAAGATCATGACCTGAGCTGAAGGCAGATACTTAACCTACTGAGCCATTTGGGAGCCCCAGAAAGAATGAAATATTAAAATGACCATTCTGGGGCACCTGGCTAGCTCAGTCATTAGAACACATGACTCTTAATCTCAGGGTTGTTTCAGCCCCATATTGGGTGTGGAAATTTATTAAAAATAAAATCTTTAGGGCAGCCCCGGTGGCTCAGCAGTTTAGCGTCACCTTCAGTCTAGGTCGTAATCCTGGAGACCAAGGATGGAGTTCCATGTCAGGCTCCCTGCATGGAGCCTGCTTCTCCCCTCTGCCTGTGTCTCTGCCTGTGTCTCTGCCTCTCTCTGTGTGTCTCTCATGAATAAATAAAATCTTAAAAAAAATAAATACAATCTTTAAAATAAAAAAAAGACCATTCAGATGTATATAAACCAGTAGAAAATTTAAAAAATAAAGCACTGCTGACTCCTGAATAATTGGGGATTAGGGACACCAACCCCCTGAGCAGTTGAAAATCTACATACAACTTTTGACTCCCCCAAAACTACTAATAGCCTACTGTCAACCAGAAGCCTAGCTAAAAACAGTTGACTGACACATATTTTATGTGTTTTATATACCGTAGCCTTACAATAAACTAACCTAGAGAAAAGAAAGGTTATTGAGAAAAATCACAAGAGAAAATACATTTATTTATAGTACTGTATTTACTGAAAAAAAAAAAATCCAGGTGGACCCATTCAGTTCAGACTCACGTTATTCAAGGGTAAACTATACAGTTAATCATCATTATTTGCAGATTTTTTTAAAAAAATTTATTTTTTATTTATGATAGGCACACAGTGAGAGAGAGAGGCAGAGACATAGGCAGAGGGAGAAGCAGGCTCCATGCACCAGGAGCCCGACATGGGATTCAATCCCAGGTCCCCAGGATCGCGCCCTGGGCCAAAGGCAGGCGCCAAACCGCTGCGCCACCCAGAGATCCCGCAGATTTTTTTAAAAAATATTTTATTTATTTATTCATGACACACACACACACACACAGAGAGGCAGAGACACAGGCAGAGGGAAAAGCAGGCTCCATTCTGGGAGCCTGACGTGGGACTCAATCCCGGGACTCCAGGATCATGCCCTGGGCCAAAGGCAGGCGCCAAACCGCTGAGCCACCCAGGGATCCCCTAAAACTTTATTTAAGTATTCTCTACACCAAATGTGGGGCTCAGACTCACAACCCCCAGATCAAGAATACCATGCTCTTCCAAATGAGGCAGCCAGGAGCCCCTATTCACAGATTTGATTATGAATTCACATACCTGCTAAAATTTCTTTGTACCCCCAAAATCAATAATCACAGCACTTTTTGTGAGCATTTGCTGACAGCATTGAGTAGTTTGAGTCATGGGTAAATGGAGTTGCCCCACATGCATGCTCCCAGCTGAGTTTGAACAAAATGATATTCTGCCTTGTTTCCGCTCTCATACTGTAAACAAGTTTTCTTTTAATAGTCTATTTAGTGTCATTTTTTCCACATATTTATGGTTTTTGTTGGTGATTTGCTGTTTAAAATGGTCCCTAAGCACGGGGCTGAAGGGCTGTTTAATGTTCCTAAGTGCAAGACGGCAGTGATGTCCCTTATGGAGCAAATATATATATGTTTGGCCATGAGTTATAATGCAGTTGGTCATGAATTCTATATTAATAAATCAATATGTTAAATAAGGTATCTTTAAATATAAACACACACACAAAAAGCAAGGTTATGCATTGTTTGATGAAAATGTTGTACCCAGGGGCTCACAGGAATTTAACCCATATTTCCCCTAGGAGCAATGGTTCAATATTTGGTAATTTGTTTATGGTGACTTTACAGAAAATAATTCCTGTGAATAACAAGAATCAACTGTATATAGTAACTAAAATTGGAAACCTGATTGACAATTTAATAGCTGAACAGATATGAAGAATTAGTATATTTAAAGAGAGACCTAAAAAAAAAAACCCAAATGCAAATAGATGAGCTACATAAAGGAGAGGGTAAGAAATATAGAGGTGAATTCTAAAATGTATGTGGATGTACAAAAGACTTAGAATATCCAAGGCAATGCTGAAGAAGAAGAAAAGAGGACAGCAAAACCCTAACAGATTTCAAGACTTAAAATGTAAAAACCTATAGTAATTAAGATAGTATAATATTATTAGTAAAAGGATAGTAAATACAACAATGGAACAAAAAATAAAGATCCCAGAAAGATAACTCAGTGTACAAAATCATCTACTTTATGGCAAGATGCCAACGTAATTCAGTTGGGGGGGGGTGGATAGTTTTCAATTAACTGTACTAGCTCAACTGGATAACTATATTGGAGAAGGCAAGATTTTCACCCTCATTTAACACATACCAAAAAGTAAATTCAAGATAGATTACAGGTCTAAATATAAAGTAGGGGCACACGGCTGGCTCAGTTGATAAGCATGCAACTCATGATCTCAGGGTTGTGAGTTTGAGCCCCACATTGGGTGTAGAGATTACTAAAACAAAAACAAAAATACTTTTTAAAAAAGAAAAAATAAACAAACAGTAAGGTATTCAAATTTCTAAGGTAAAACTTAAAGACTACACTGATTATTATGGGATATGCAAAGATTTTATAAACAAAATGCAAAAAGCACTAACTAGGAAAGAAAATATTGATAAATTGATGAATATTGATAAATTATTATCAGGCATGACTGATCTTTTTTTTTTATGATAGTCAGAGAGAGAGAGAGAGAGAGAGAGAGAGAGAGAGAGAGAGAGAGGCAGAGACATAGGCAGAGGGAGAAGCAGGCTCCATGCACCGGGAGCCTGACGTGGGATTCGATCCCGGGTCTCCAGGATCGCGCCCTGGGCCAAAGGCAGGCGCCAAACCGCTGCGCCACCCAGGGATCCCAGGCATGACTGATCTTTACAATTCTCACAACCATGATCCACTTGAAAAATAACATTCTGTGTGTGCTTGTCAGTTATACTGATAAGGTCTACATAACATAAATACAGCCTACCAGTGGCTATAGGTAAAGCTGTCACTTTAATTACTCATATCAGAAAGAGAGAAAGGTGTAAAATCAATTACCTAATTGTCACTTTACCAGGCTAGGAGGAAAAACAGCAAAAAAAGAAAAAAAAACCTAAACATGCTAAAAAATCAATAGTAAATGGATACACAAGAAAATAAAAAAGATTACTAAAATTTGTAAAGCCACAGGAAGACTTATTAACAACAACAAAAAAAAGAAGACAAAAACAAAGTGATGAAAAACTAATCAACACTAGAAATCCTAAAGACACTAAAAAAACCAATATGGTATTTATCTTTAAATGACAAAGTACATTTTAGGTACATCATAGTGAAAACTGCTGGAAACCAAAGATAAATCTTGAAAACAGCCAGAGGGAAAGAGAAGGCACATTATATTCATGGAAAGAGTAATAGGAATGATTTCTGGCTTCTAACCAGAAATAATTCCAGCAGGTTGGAAGATACTATAATCTCATCTTTAAAGTAATAACCAAACAAAAAAGCATAGGGATAATATTATTTTTTTAAAGATTGATTGATAGATTCATTCATTCATGAGAGACACAGCGAGAGAGAGGCAGAGACACAGGCTGAGGGAGAAGCAGGTTCCCTGCAAGAAGCCTGATGGGACTCCATCCTGGATCCTGGGA